GCATCGAAAGCGGAAGAAATTTATGCTCAACAATTTTCCAAATAGATAGGATTATATTATTGTTATGCCATAGTACCTATTCTATTGTAATAGACTCTCCCCATAGACAATAAGTAGTAGTAGCGGTCGCCAGTTCGTCTCAGTGGTGTTCAGTGAGTCAGTCGATATCGGACATTGAAGTACCAACCATCACAACTAGATTGCTGCGTCATTAACTCTATTTTTCAAGTTCCTAACGTTTTGTACGTCGAACCTAATTTAGGACGACTTATTGAAATACAAGCCTCCACTGTGAAAACTACTCCACAACAATTATCAATAATGAGTGCAAAATATGATCATAGTTAAATGTATGAATTAATTCCAGAGAAGCAGTTGATTTTTTTCTCGCTTTCAAATGCGACAGGAGTTTTTTCTTTCTAATGTAATACTAAAAGTTTTGTTCAAGTATTGAATAGTTCTGGGCATAACGATAAAGTACATTCGGGATTAAGGCCTCTAATTGGGAGATTGGAGGTTTTGAGGAGTGTGGAACCCATCTCTTAATTGTTCTGACTTGTTTAGTGGCCAGAAGGAGAGACACGGAAGACGAAGGTAGGTTGAACAAGTGTATTGAAATAACAGATATATACAAAACAAAAGTGTTAGTTATAAGCAGATAGAGGTGTACGTCTGAACGGTAGGTTAACACTGCGTCTCTGCTTCCCAACCGACTGGACCTACGACTCTTGCTTGGAAGTCTCGCAGTTAGTATTTAATGAGAGGAGGAAGAGTTCATTTTACTGTAGGAGGGTTTACCACAACAAAAATTACCAACAATGCATATTTATAGTTAAATAGAATAAATTTCATAGAAAATTGATCAACAATACATTATTTTAGTCGAAGGCATACAATTGTGTACAAAATATTTAGATTTCAGCATTAAATAGGACAGAGAATTTGATATGCTACTAAACAAAATCCCTCAACCAAACAATGTGAAAGAACACTTTCAAGACATTAATCCATATAATATCCTACAATTTCTTAAAAAAAAATCAAATTGTATTTCAAAATATAACTTAGAACAAAACTAGAACATAAAACAAACATCACCGCCTCGAGAAATCATGTTTACACAAATATGTATATAGAGGAAAGATGCATATGATCTTCCATGTACTCAACTGCAAAGACAGAATAACATTTATCATATTTTCATTACTTCAAAGCTCCCAAGTAAAAATCAAATTTCGTCATTAAATGACCCATAAGAAGTTGGTATGCCATTAAACAAACAAATCTATCAAGTATTGGATGAATTAATAAAAAAGGTCGGAATGCAAAGATTTGTTTATGTAGTAGATATTTTGTTTTTAGATTATAAACTTCCCATGGGCGTTATATAATCAGTCATATATACTGGACATATGGGTTTTATCATATACCTATATATATATATATATATATATATATATATATATATATATATATATATATATATATATATATATAAGGATGATATGTAGGTTGAGGACGAATTAAAGCGGTGACGGAAGCGAATACGAGCTCTGTCTAATCTCCCCTTATCACTGTGGCTGTGTTGGTAATTTTTATTTGTGACAAAGGTTTCTTTCACTTGTCAGCCAACACAGAACTAAATACGCCTGTCTTTCTCGTCTCAATCGACGCGATGCACACGCAGCACTTAAGACGACTGTCCAGATGGGAACGTTAAAAAAAGAAAAAAGAAGAAAAAAAAAAAAGAAAAAAGAAGAAAAACGAAGAAAAATAAAGAAAAAAGAAGAAAAACGAAGAAAAAAGAAGAAAAGAAAAAGAATAAAAAAAGAAAAAAAAGAAAAAAGAAAAAAAAGAAAAGGAAGAAAAAAAAAAAAAGAAAAAGAAAAAAAAAAAAGAAAAAAAAGAAAAAAGAAGAAAAAAGAAAGAAAAAAGAAGAAAAAAAGAAAGAAAAAAAAAGAAGAAAGAAGAAAAGAAAAAAGAAGAAAAAAAATGTATTTTGGTGCTCCTGTTATACATCTCAAGGTTCTTGCCAAAATCCAAAGACGGATCTGTAATGTAATCGATCCTGACTTGACATCTCGACTTCAGTCACTTTCTCACCGACATGTTTTCTCTGTCTTTTTAACAAATATTTTTATGACAACTGACGACCATTTCCCCTAGCGACCCGACTATGTTAATTAAGTTTAAGCGTCTAATAATTTTTTTCTTTTTCTTTCAGATTTAACAACTCAAGTCTTTGGCAATTTCAAACATGGAAAGATTAACCATCAAACAATGTGCTAAAGTTATCGAAGCCTATGAACGTTCAAACAGAAATACATTTCGCGTGCTTCGCGATTTTTTGGTCAACATAATCGACCAACCGAGAGAATAATAGGAAAAACTGTTCGTAAATTCAAACAAACTGGGTCGGTGGAAGATGTGAAAATACTGTTGCGTGCTCATTTACGCCGTTCAGCTGAGAATATTGCAGTGGACGAGAATGTGGCCGAAAATCCAGACCCCTCTTTTCGTCACCGCGCGCAGGAATTGAACCTCTCCACAACAACGTTACATCGAATTATGACAAAAGATTTGTCTCTACGCGCTTACAAAATTCAGTTGACACGAGAACTGAAACATGCTGAGAATTTGGAGCGCCGTACTTTTGTCAATTGGGTGCACAAGCAAAGAATAATCTGATGAAGATTTTCCGCCAAAAATCCTCTTTAGTAATGAAGTCCATTTTCATCTTGGTGGATTCGTTAATAAGCAGAATTGTCGCATTTGGGCTGATGAAAATCCAAGGAAGATTGTTGAAAAGGCACTGCATCCACAAAAGGTCACTGTTGCATTTTTTGCTAGCGGAATCATTGGGCCGTATATTTATAAATTTGAACGTCCATTTTCGATAACTAACACATTGTTAATATTTCCATGGTTAAAATTGCCAAATACATAAGTTGTTAAATCTGAAAGAAAATAAAAAATGGATAGCACATATAGAACTGGAAACTCGCTCGTATGTTTCCATGTTCGAATTGGAAACATATGAGCGAGTTTCCAGTTCGCTCGTATGTAATGAGCGACAGACAAAAAATCATCTCTATTAAAGAGATGATTTTCTGTCTGTCGTTCGTATCTAATGTATATACGTATGTCTGCCGCTCTTATCTAATGTATATACACATGTCTGTCGCTCGTATCTAATGTATATACATATGTATGTGTTTTATGTAATGTGTATAAATATGTCTGTGTTGTGCGTAAGTGACTTACATTAAATGTACACGCACACACACACAATTTAACTAATTTTGAAATGAGACATTGGAATAAGACACCCAGGAAAACCCCATACTGAATGTAAGGATGCAAAAGATGATTATCCCCTTTTAGTCAAGATAGTCACGCATCTGCTTCCCCCAGTAGCTTATAAGTTCATGGAGCCGTTTCTCTTTGGGTATGTATCTAGTTATAGAATTCTCCGGCTAGTTTCCAGTTCGGGGAATATGTCCTCGCTTGGGACGTAGTAGATGAATCCGACCCGTTTGAATCTGTAGTCCTAAACATGACTTCTCCAGAAACACAGAATACTCTCCATATTATATGAAAGACACCCATAATTTCGTCCTTCTTTCACTCTGCTTGCCGTGTAGATATATGTGATAGTTTTTTTTTCTCTGCGTGAGACATATATATATATATATATATATATATATATATATATATATATATATAATGTTGTGTACTACGTAGATTTATAAAAGTCTGTCCGGGAACAAAGCATGTTTGTCATTACTTTTCCTTTCAGCCATTCCGTCCCATCCGTGAAATAAGGTGTAATTATATCATAGATATAATAATACCCATAATTTGGTGGCGGGGGGGGGGACTTAACTGAGTGAATAAATCTTTCTTCCATGACTCTCTCGCGTTATATGAGCAATGAAGTCATAAATTTGGAGAGATGAAAAATAAATAAATAAAAGGGATATATTTTTTTTACACTATAAAAATCAAATAAGTTTTTTTTTTTTTTTTTTTTTAACTTTTTGGAAATTATTCAGTAATGAGTAGAATTAATTTTTAAAGTTTTAAAACATTTTGTAGAAATGAACATCTGTGACGTAAGGACTAATTTCCGTTTTTCCTTATGTTAACGCCCCCCCATCCCGGATAAGGGGGAAAATAGTAAAAGTCGACTCTTCGAAGTCATTTCTATAAATGCTGTATTTGACCTTAGTATAATTTCTTACAAATTTTAAATGGCTAAACATTTTAGATTTGATATTTGATCGTCTTGCCATCAACGAAATGATATGTACCGAAATATTCCCATAAATCCCTGTTCAAATAAACGAGGTCGATATTTAAACTGAATATATTTTCTTACAAATGTAGTATGTTAAATAAGCAAAGAATTTAGATTCGAAATTTGATCATCTCGTTTTCAGTGAAGAGACAAGCACGGTATCAGTTTCTATAAAATCGATAACGTTCAACTCAAACAATAGAACAAAATCTCCAGTTTATTTATATTTTTTCACTTGTGAATTAATCTTTTGCTGACACTTTAGCCGCCATATTGTCAAGTGAAGACCTTCGATAGTTTCTCCTGGTGCGGTTAACTGTTCCTTGGTTTTTAGCCGTTGGGAATGATTTGATATGCGGCGAGACAGTGGTGTAAAACTGGTGTAAACAAACAACATTTACGTCGCCGCCGGCCTTAGTGAATGCCTGATCTAAAACCTGGAATCGAATAGGCAGACATTGGCACCTTGGCGATAACACCTTTGCCCGTCTCTTTTGAAAACCTAACCAGCAATAGAGGAAAAGCGAAAAAACGAGGTTCAGTTGAAAAACAAGATACATAAATGACATTCATCAGGTACTAAAGACTCATTTCGTTCTTGTCGTGTCACGAACTTTGGCGACTGCCAGCAGGCTCTTTTTTAATTTCGTTATTGGTGGCACGATTTTTTCGTCTCACACCGATTCTTCGTTTTTGAGAGGATTATTTTTTTTTTTTTAAATGTTTTCTCTTTTATTATTCCTTTCTTTCCTTTTCGATTTTCCTTTTTTCTTTCTTTATTCCCATCTATCTATCTATCTATCTATCATTATTCCCGTCTATCAATCTTTATTCCCTTCTATCTATCTATCTTTCTTTATTCCCGTGTTCTTTTCTTTCTTTCTTTCACCCGTCTTTTTCTTTCTTTCATCATTTTCTTTCACCCGTCTTTTTGTCTTTTCTTTCATCATTCATGTCTTTTCTTTTCTTTCTTTCATCATTCTGTTTTTTTTCTTTCTTTCTTTCATCATTCCCGTCTTTTTCTTTCATTCATCATTCCCGTCTTTTTCTTTCATTCATCATTTCATCATTCATTCATCAATTTTTTTTTCTTTCTTTCATCATTCCCGTCTTTTTCTTTCTTTCTTTCATCATTCCCGTCTTTTTCTTTCTTTCTTTCATCATTCCCGTCTTTTTCTTTCTTTCTTTATTCCAGTCTTTCTTTCTTTCATCATTCCCGTCTTTTTCTTTCTTTCTTTCATCATTCCCGTCTTTTTCTTTCTTTCTTTCTTTCATCATTCCCGTCTTTTTCTTTCTTTCTTTCTTTCATCATTCCCGTCTTTTTCTTTCTTTCTTTCTTTCATCATTCCCGTCTTTTTCTTTCTTTCATTATTCTCGCCTTTCTTTCTTTCACTATTCCAGGCTTTTCTTTCTTTCTTTTTATTCCAGAAGTTTTCTTTCTTTCTTTCATCATTCCCGTCTTTTTCTTTCTTTCATTCATCATTCCTTCCTCAAACATTTGTGCGATATTCTCTATTAAACATTCCTCTAAATGTGAGATCCACACCTGTTTTCAGACTTCTTTTCAGGAAGAAGACAAACCACAAAAGATGGAAGGATAATTGCAATTGCACGTAAACCTCGCCCCCACAAGACCACATATAAGTGACATCTATGATCTCGCGAAGATAAAACGCAGGAATCATTTTTTTTAAAGTGTGTTTTAGATACCTTATCTAAGACATTATTCATAATGAAGCAGGGAGGCAGACCATCCCTAGAAGAGTAGCGGGAAGTAATCTTCATACGTCACTTTACCTTGTGATAAGCAAAATAAGGAGATGGGCGCCGTTCTTCGTCGTGTATTGCTTACCAAAACCGGTTCCACAGACCATGAATACTATAGTCAGTTCGTACTTCTTTGAAAGGAGAACACTTGTAGCCTGGCGACAGACAAAGAAAAGCTTAGTCAATAGCTTTTTTCAATATATGCTAAAAATTACCCAATGCAAGCCTCGAGAGTCACCCAACGCAGGGTGTTATTTAATGAAGTGTGATATGAATGTAAGAGCAGGTAGTAGAAAGTGAAGATTATAAGGTGGATAGAAAACTACTGATCCTTTACTTGAAGAGGTTAAGATTCTAGAACTCAAGGAAATATCCACGCGTAATTGTCAAGCCTGATTTTGTTTATTTTTATTTTTATTTTTTTTAGAAAAAATGCGTATTATACATGGGGCATTACAGCAAAAGGTACGTAACAATAATAATAATTCTTCAATTAAAAAAAAATAAACAAAAAAACAAACAAAACGAACATAAATTATATACGTTGTGGTATTCTCGGTCCTTGACCCACTACCCAAAATCTGAACAAAATGACTGAAAACTTTTTTTTGAAAGGGCTTCTTGGTGTCACCGAGAAAATTCCAGGAATTTATCGTATATTCTTTGCTTTCTTATATTCTCCTGCTTCTTTCTCTTTCCATCTTTTAATTCTTCTTGTAATTGTTTAATTTCGGAGATGGTGGGTTTTGTCTTAAATATATCTTACCATGTTTCATTGCTTTTAAAAATCTCTGATACATTGACATTTCCCCAAAATTTTGAAGGAAGAAATCAGAAAAAATAGGGTTTTCCTTGTTCTTGATAGTCTTGTCTTCCCTAGCATCCCCAGTTGAATAGCATATTCCAGCATGAAAACCTGACTAATCATAAAACATTCATCACAGACCGAGAAGAAATAACAAATTTATAGTAACTATTTGGAATGTAATAATTATACGGTGGCGTAATGAATAGCAGTTCGGATTGAAAAATCGTAGAGCCGAGTTCGAATTCCAGTCGAATCCATTACATTCATTTACGTGCTAATACCCTTCTCTTCTTTTAAATAGGACAGACCGGGTCCTATAGCAGTGGCTGGCAATTGATCTTGAAATTGAAATGGCAACCTACTGTGGGAAAAATCTGCCTCGTCAGTCATATATCGAAAGATACATGATCACCTAAACGTGTATCTCGTGTGGCACGTAACTTAACTGAACTAGAAGATAATTTAACTACCGTCACCAGCCTTCGATTTAGAGAACGCTGGGTGCGTTTTGTTTTTTAGATATTTTATAGGGAAAAAAAATCACTACAGTGTAAATGTGTACAGAGTACCTTGATCGCAAGGTCATCTGCACTAAATTTGTGCCCTGGCTCTTACTACATTTCCCCAATCGTAGATCTGTTATAGTGGAAAGAAAGAGAAAATGACTCTAAATGAATTCAGCTTGATATATATACATTAAAAATTCTAAAATCGCCAGCAACCCTCGTTCATTTGCATGTGCAGTCGTTATTATTATCATCAATATTATCGGTATATTAATATTATATTAATATTATTAACTTTATCAATATTATCAGTATATTTTTAAAACAATGCAGAAAAATACCTCTTTTAAACAGTGGTTTGTTGATTTTATGACATGTCAATCTTATGCAAATTTTCTTTATCTGTCTTTGAGAATGTGTCTTATAAGCAGCAAAATACGGTATTTTAAAAAGAGATTGGCTAAAACAACGCTAATAAGAAAAACAATGGGTCGGACGAAAATATAATCTAGCTTTTATATACAAAAATTCATCATAATAACAAAATAAAACCTGGCGTAATATTCGGAATCTACTTAAGAGCACTCAGAATATGCAGTCCGGATTATTTACACGAAGAAGAGAAATACATTGAAAACACTTTAAAACTTCTCCAGTATCCTAGTTATTTTATATTGAGTGCGAAAGAAAAGGCCCATAAAATATTCCAAGGCAATAAAACGGCCTCTCCTGAAAAAAAAAAACAAAACAAAACAAAAAAACACAAGACAAAAAAAACAATGAATCAAATATATATATATATATATATATATATATATATATATATATATATATATTCCTACCAACTAATTCTCTCACATCTATGGAAAAGAATCTATCAAAACTCAACATAAAATTCGTTACTACGACTACTTCATCCAAAACAATAAAAGACTTAACCAATACTAAACAAAACAAACTAAAACCTGATGGAGGAATTTACTTCATCGCCCGTAACAATTGTCACAAAAATACACAGAAGAAACCTCAAGAAATCTAAAAGATTATATGAACAGAAGAGGGGCAGTTTACAAAATAATACATCAAATGCGTTGGTTGCCCACAATTTTGACATAAAAAAAAAGTTACTCTGATCAAAGGAGAAAACAACTCATTACTATGTAAATGTGTACAGAGTACCTTGATCACAAGGTCATCTGCACTAAATTTGTGCCCTGGCTCTACAACATTTCCCCAGTCGTAGATCTTCTATTATTACAGTGGAAAGAAAAAGAAAATGACTCTAAATGAATTCAGCTTGAAATATACATTAAAAAAATTCTAAAATCGCCAGCATCCCTCGTTCATTTGCATGTGCAGTCGTTATTATTATAATCAATATTATCAGTATATTAATATTATATTATTATTATAAGCTATTATTAATTTTATCAATATTATCAGTATATTTTTCAATAAATGCAGAAAAATACTTCTTTTAAACAGTGTTTTGTTGATTTTATGACATGTCAATCTTGGATTATTTAATGTTGTAAATTTTCTTTTTCTGTCTTTGAGAATAATGTCTGAGCAATTAATATTATTGTTATCTTTAAATTCCACCAAATAGAGAATTTCTTTTATTTAAAGATTCTACTAAGGGTTAAGACGTTCAAGGTTATTTTAGATATCACCAGAATTGTAAATAACGGCTTACAGTTGATAGATTGCCTACGCGATAAAACGTCGTGTAAATTTAAAATAAATATTTCTTTAAAATTGTAAAAAAAAAAAAAAAAAAAAAAAAATGGTACTTGTAATTTTAGAAATATTCCAAAATTAATTTTATGATAGAAAAAATGTAGATCTCCGAGAATTTAAATATTTTATTGGCTACTGAGTACATATTCCCATCTTACTGCTTTTGAATTGGTCGACCCAGAGGGTTTAGAATTTGATGTCGAAGACAGAATTGTGAGAGATGCATGTCTGTAAGTAAATATGAATACTACCCAGTCACCAACGTTTGAAAAAGACGTTGTTAAACTTGCATGATATCAATATTGAGGAGATTAAATAAAGTCTTTTGCAGGTCGGGAGATGATGTCAAACTGTGAAATGTGAAATATGAAAGAAAAGTGGAGTTGAAATTATTTCGTGGTTTTTGTTGATTAGTTCATATATTGATCTTGAGGTGCAGGAGACGAGGTGATTTTGAAGAGAAAGAAAATAACGAAGAGAAAAGTAAAAAAGAGTATGGAAGATGAAGTTGAGGGAAGAATAAGTAGTAACTGAAGCAGGAAGGATTGGGAGGAAGAAAATGATGAATAAGAAATAACAGTTCAAGTAATTAAGTGAAGGGATGAAGACGGATTGAAAGGAAAGACAATAAGAAAAGTGAAAAGAGGCAAAAAGAAAGGGAGAAAAAGCGAAACAACAGCAATGGAGAAAAAGCAAACAAAAGAAATGGGATAAAAGTGAAGCAATATATATGTGGAAAAAGAACGAAAGGAAATGGAAAAATACAAAAAAGAGAAGAACACATGGAAAAGAAAAGAAGTGGGAAAGTGAAACAAAGAAATCGGAAAAAAAAGAAGCAAAAGTCATCGGAAAAAAAGGAAAAGAAAGAAAAAGAAAAAAAGAAATCGGAAAAAAGAAAAAAAGAAGGAAAAGAAATCGGAAAAAAAGAGAGAAAAGAAATCGCAAAAAAAAGAGAAAAGAAATTGGAAAAAAGAACAAAAGAAGGAAAAAAGAAATCGGAACAAAAGACGGAAAAGAAATCGGAACAAAAGAAGGAAAAAAGAAATCGGAACAAAAGAAGGAAAAAAGAAATCGGAACAAAAGAAGGAAAAAAGAAATCGGAACAAAAGACGGAAAAGAAATCGGAACAAAAGACGGAAAAGAAATCGGAACAAAAGACGGAAAAGAAATCGGAAAAAAAAGACGGAAAAGAAATCGGAAAAAAAAAGAAGGAAAAGAAATCGGAAAAAAAAAGAAGGAAAAGAAATCGGAAAAAAAGAAGGAAAAGAAATCGAAAAAAAAGAAGGAAAAGAAATCGGAAAAAAAAAGAAGGAAAAGAAATCGGAAAAAAAAGAAGGAAAAGAAATCGGAAAAAAAAAAAGGAAAAGAAAAATCGGAAAAAGAAGAAAAAAAGAAATCGGAAAAAAAAAAAAAAGGAAAAGAAATCGGAAAAAAAGAAGGAGGAAAAGAAATCCAAAAAATGAAGGAAAAGAAATCGGAAAAAAAGAAGGAAAAGAAATCGGAAAAAAAAGAAGGAAAAGAAATCGGAAAAAGAAGGAAAAGAAATCGAAAAAAAAAAGAAGGAAAAGAAATCGGAAAAAAAAGAAGGAAAAGAAATCGAAAAAAAAAGAAGGAAAAGAAATCGAAAAAAAAAGAAGGAAAAGAAATCGAAAAAAAAAGAAGGAAAAGAAATCGGAAAAAAATTAGGAAAAGAAATAGGAATAAAGAAAGAAAAGAAATAGGAAAAAGTGGGAAGAACAATGAGGAAAAGAAAGGGAAGAGCAATAGGGAAAAGAAAGGGAAGAGCAATAGGGAAAACAAAGGGAAGAGGAATAGGGAAAACAAAGGGAAGAGGAATAGGGAAAACAAAGGGAAGAGGAATAGGGAAAACAAAGGGAAGAGGAATAGGGAAAACAAAGGGAAGAGGAATAGGGAGGGAGAGAGAAGAAAGAGCATTGGAGGGAAAAAGAGAAGGAAAATGGGAAAATGAAAAAAGAGAAATCGTGAAATCTGAAGAAAAGAAAATATTGTTTTGCCTATCTTAAATGAAATTTTCTTATAATCTGCTTTATCTCCTTTGCCGTCAGATTTCGTTTTTTTTTACTACTTCTGCTGTGAACCTTGGTCTTTGCCGTCGTTTATATTTCTTTAATAATGGATTCCATATAGTATTATGCTAGTATCTTCATGTAATTTATACATATTTACTGAAATTAGGTTAGTTTGACACAAGAACAGTGATGGAAACAGTAAAAATAAATTAATGGCAATGAGATACAGGGTACTGACATCATATATATATATATATATATATATATATATATATATATATATATATATATATGAGAACAGTATCGAGGAAATTTATGACAAAGTGGAAAAAGCTTACTTGTGACGCGTTTCGCCCTTCAGGGCTGCATCGAACTATTCTGTTATATTGGTAGGTCTACACATGCGCACGACAGAGGGAGGCATGCTGGGAATTTTAGATTTTTTTATTTGGCCAAATTCATTTAGAGTCTTTTTCTTTCTATCACTTTTGTTAGTAGGTATTCCACCTTGCGATATTAGAAGAGATGGCAGTACTAGTGAAATGTAAGTGCCAGGGCGTAAATTTATTGTAGATGACCATGTGATTAAAGCACTTTCTCGTTGCCGTAATTCATAGTGAATTATTTTATCTTTTGTTCAGATTAGTGGAATTTATGTCAAAATTGGGGTCAGTCTCGTTACGGTGGGCAACCAACACAAAAAGGACATTTTACAAAATAATAAGTCAAATGCGTTAATTGCCCCAAATTCTAAAATACCCAGCATCCCACTGTCTTGCGCATTTGCAGTTTTACCAACATAGAAAATTTAGTTCGATGAAGTCCTGAAGGGCGAAACGCGTCACAAGCAAACTTTTTCCTTTGTCACTATATATATATATATATATATATATATATATATAGCATAATGAGAAGCCATGTATACTTTCTTAATATGTATATATATAGAAAAAAAGTTGCAAATTAAAAAAAAATTAATAATTTTTTTATGAAAGTATTTATTTATATTCAGAAATATTTCAGATTATTTCTGAAGAAAGATCGAGGTCGATCTGAACAGTTAAATATATATAAATAAATAAGTAAATAAATACTTTCATAAAAACATTATTATATTTTTTAATTTGCAACTTATATATATATATATATATATATATATATAAATATATACTCTCTTAGGTAGTATATGCAATGCTTTGCATTCCATAGATATACCTTTTAAATTTCAGGTTGCAGCATGACAAACATAGAAAAGTTTAATGTATATTATTGGGATTTTACAAAAATAGTATGTCGTTTTGAAATGGTGGAGGAATGGCTCTGAAAAATTATTTACAATCTGAAAAGGTTAAATGCACGTGTACAGAGTGATTGAAAAGTAATTCCCTATTTTATGTATGATGGAATCTCTTCGTTTTGTAAGGGAGAATTCATCATACATAAAATAGAGAGTTACTTTTCAGCTACCCTGTCTATACCCAACATTACTGTGAAACCCCTAAATAATATCCAGTGCAACCAATTTCCTTCAGAAGTCATATAATTATTAAGTAGAGTCCAGCTGATGATGACGATTTCTTTGAGTAAAGGAAAGAATGACCAAAGACTTAAAATTCTGCATTCTTCAGTTAAATATACACGTTCTGTGTAAAACTCAAGAGTTTATTAAAAAACTGTGGTAGTGTCTTCCCTCTAATGAGGCTATTGTGGACTCTTCCACTTACTATAAAGTAGTAGGAAAAGTAAGCCTTGGTAGAAACAGTGACTGTTCATCTGTCGAACTCTTTGTCTTGAGCAGAGAGGAACCCAGACAAGGCTTTGCCGAAGGGCAAAGTTTCGTCCGAGGAGGTAGACAGGCCCTGAACCCGTTTATACGGGTTCTAATGGAATATTTTTGGCCGATCCTGCGGGCTCGGAAAATCCACGGTAAACTCGGCCTTGTGCCACATACATTCCTCGTTGTGTCGGGTGCTGTTAAATATTAACAGTGATAGACTGTTCTACCGAGGCTGTGACTGTTCGCAGCTCCTGTCAAACTCTACCTTGGGCAGAGAGGAACACGGACGAGGCTCTGCCGAGGAGCAGAGTTTCGGCCGGGAAGGTAGACAGACCCGAACTCGTTTATGCGGGTTCTACAGAGACTTTTTTGGCCGAGCCTACGGGATCGGATGACCCACATTAAAGTCGGCCTTGTACCACATATAACCCTTGTGGGGGGGGGGACTGTTAAATATAACAGTGATAGACTGAACGCTGGTCAACCGTCCCAAGTCGTGTAACATTCTTTGTTGTATTTACTGTTCAATACACTATTTATCTGCAACCTCTTGTTTTGTTATTTCGTAACCAATTACTTTGTCAAAACAAGAACATTACCGAAGAAACAACATCTTAAAGACCAAAGAGCCATTAGACAGGTCAGAGATGATAAAGTGTGGAAATTTATTGATTTGTTTTTTACGGATTATCAACCTTTGTAAGTTATTTACAGCTGAAACATATTCTGGGTTGTAATATTTGATCATTTGAGGCACATAATGCTTTATGAGTTCAAAAAAGGAAACTCAGCAGCCGAAGCGGCTAGAAACATTCACTCAGTTTATGGAGAGGAATGTGTGAATGAAAGAACTTGCAGAAGATGGTTTGCAAAATTCAGGTGGAGATTTCACCCTTGAAGATGAAGATCGAACCGGACGTCCAGTTGAGTTTGATGAAGAGCTTCTTGAAGCAGCCCTTGAAGAAAATCCTGCTTTATCAGTTGAGAAATTGGTTCTGGTTCAAACCATACAACTGTTCATCGTCATCTTCAACAACTTGGAAAAGTTCCTAAACTTGGAAAATGAGTGCCTCATGAATTGTCTGAAAACAACCTCAAATCTCGAGTTGACATCTGCTCTTCTCTCCATTCTCGCCAACTTGTTTCACTTTTTTTGGATAGACTTGTGACTGGCGACGAAAAATGGATCTTTTATCGAAATGTTAAGCATCGTAGACAGTGGCTTGGTAAAGGGGAAGGACCCCAGCCACAGCCGAGAAGGGAACTTCATGGGCAAAAGGTTCTTCTTTCAATCTGGTAGGATCGCCAAGGAATAATCCACTTTGAATTCTTACCACCTAATGCAACAATTAATGCTCAAATATACTGTCAGCAATTAGAGCGTTTGAACCAAGCTTTGAGGGAAAAAAGACCTGCTCTAGTGAATCGAAAAGGGGTGATGTTTCATCAGGACAACGCGCGACCCCACACAGCAAGAATCACGTCAGAAAAGATCGAATAACTTGGTTGGGAGAAAATTCCTCATCCATCTTATTCTCCCGATCTTGCTCCTTCAGACTACCATTTGTTTCGTAGCTTATAGAATCATTTGGAAGAAGCAGCTTTTGTAACACAAACATTTGTGAGTTCTTCGAATCAAAGTCAAAAATTTTACAGTAATTGAATTAGTAAGCTTGTTAATAGATGGAAGGAAGTCATAGATAATCAGGGAAAATACATTGTTGATTGAATCTGTAATTAAATGTAACATTTGGTCACTTGTTTTCTTTATTCAAAATTCGGACAGAACTTATGGGATGACCTGATACATGCAACCGAGTTTGAGACAATTTGTAGATCTCTAGCGTGGACACTTGCAAGAATTGTAGCAGTTTTCATTGTTGTCTTGTTTCTCTTCAATCCGCATTTGGATAAATGCAGTTATTTCATCATTATTCAAAAGATACTTTTTATTCAACCTCCGGTTTAATAATGCACACATAAAATGACACGGTAAACAGAGGCACATAAAAGTGTTGCCAACATTTTAATAAAAAAAAAAAATATGAAAAATCCATCAAGTTAATCAATGCATATTTTAAGAAATACAATTTGCATATATAATTTTTTATTTATAAATTTATTCATCTGAAAGCGCCGCTTCTTTTATGCGTAGTATCTCTTCATGATGTGGAATGTTATGACTTTCCACAACTTCCTATCCTTTGTCGCTTTAAGCGATGCTTGTCCAATAACTAATCATCCTCGTCACTATCCTTCCCTCTATTTACGCAAGCTCGTTAGGTACGCTAATGTCTGTTTTCCTTCTCTCCTTTTTGGCTAAGTCCTGTGAATGTCAATTTTCCTCAAAATCTAAAAATGGAATGATTTTTCTGCATCAACCTAATGTGTAAAGGGAAAGAGGCGAAGAGAGAGAGAGAGAGAGAGGCGAAAGGCAAGAGAAAGCAAGAGAGAAAGAAAGAAAGAAAAGAGGCGAAGAGAGGAGAGAAATGCGTTATAAATTGAATCAAAGAGGGAATTTTAAAAAGAAAGAACTTCGAAGAATTAGAGAGAGAAAAGACTAAGCGTAGAAGGTGCCAAAAGAAAGAAAGGCGAAAGATTGAAGAGAAAGAAAGAGAGGAAAAGAGAGGCAAAAAAAAAGAGGGAAAGGAGAGAGAGAGAAAGAAAGAGAGGTGAAGAGAGAGAGAGAGAAAGAAAGAGAGGTGAAGAGAGAGAGAGAAAAAAGAAGAGAGGTGAAGAGAGAGAGAGAGAGAGGCGAAGGGAGAGAGAGAGAGAAGAGGGGGAAGACAGAAAGATAGAGTAAGAAAGCGAGAGAGAGAGAGTAAAAAAGGGAAGGAAAGATATTAGTACACACGTTCATGCTATTTTTTATTAAATTATAGAATGTCGATTATATTTACTAAAACTGAACACGCATAGAATTCGTAAAACACGAAACGACCATTTACACATGAATTGTTATTTCAGTCGAAGAGTGTATGTGAAGTAGTGACAAGTGTTGCACACGAAATTATATACAGGTAAAACACCGATTTTCCGGCAACCCCCTCCTTTATCCGAACATAATTAATAGGAAACATTTGAATTTTACGCGTTTGCCAAACACATTCCACGGGCGGCTGCAGGTGTCGTTGTGTAAGAGGCGCGGTCGTCTGTTTTCCACTGATGTAGTTGTCACAGCTGCATCGATTTAAATAATACTTTAATATAAGTTTATCACATCCATTGCTGCTGTGCAGATACGTGAGAGGCATAATTGGTAGATCAGAGTTATATTGATTGCCATTGGTCCAGTTAAAACTGAAGAGCCAACACAGTTATGAGAAAGATGATACCCGAAAATCAATAGTGTACACACATATTGATACATATTGCTTTTCCCCCTAGATATGTGAATATTATATATTCGGTATATCGACTTTATGAATCTAAACGCAGTACCAGATTGGCAGGTAGGTACCAGCATTTTACAGTTGAAATAGCCGTAAGTTCTATGCTAATAGTTTCTTCTCTCGCACTTTTTGCTCGTGGAACTCTCTTCTGTCTTCTTGCTTTCAAGTTAACATTGATTTTCGAAAATTTAAATGCAATGCCAATCATTATGTTCTGCCTTAATTCCAGTTCTTATATTATATCTTAGAAATAAGACCGGACATGAATGTGATCGACAAACAAGACCGGACATGAATGTGATCGACAAACAAGACCGGACATGAATGTGATCGACAAACAAGACCGGACATGAATGTGATCGACAAACAAGACCGGACATGAATGTGATCGACAAACAAGACCTGACATGAATGTGATCGACAAATAAGACCTGACATGAATGTAGAATGTAGAATTTTGAACTCTTTCAGTTATACTTAAATAATGTATGAATAATTTGAAAAGGAATAGACTGTATAATATTAATAAAACAGCGTTGAATGAAAATTTACCACGTGACATTGAAACCAGCATAGATATAAATTTGGGCTACATGGCGGGGGAGGGGCTAACAAGTCTGACAAAAAAAAAAAAACAAAATAAACGTGGTCATATCATTCGAAAACAGTTAAAATATCTACTCTCTAAAAATAACCAATTTCAACTTGTACAAAGGATGTAACACATAGCCGATTTTCTTTTTAGTCTTTTGATTTCTCTGGAAACGATTTGGACATGTTCTGCAAATTAATGTGTAAACTGTTAATAACGCTGTTTTATTTCGAGAAAACCAACGCAGAACACAAGAATGACCTCCAGAAACCATAGTATACACACTGAACAACGACATTAAAAAAATCTATCAATAATATAACATCATGTACCGTAAAAAAAAAAAAAAAAACATAAAAAAATAACTTTGAATGGAGTATAAAAAACCTGCAGGACTTTTGTGAGTTAGAACAGTAAGTATTGGAAAAATGGAGAGCTGAAAAATAAAATTTGAATGGAAGTATTTTCCCCATGAAAAATAAGTCGACACATTTTCTCTGAGGAGTACTTTTGAAAAAGTACATATTAAGTTTATTGTTTTGCTTAAATTCCTGTGTTGTTGACAGCGTTACAACACTGCTTCAGCCGAATCAGTCTTCATCAGTTACATAAAAAAAAAGAGAAAGAAATTGCTCCTTTAAAAAAATGACGACTTAAAATATTATGGTTGATATAAATACCCCCTCCCCTTATCGATCCATTTAAAAATTAAGGACAACAGCATTTTTTTTCCTTCTTTGAGTGATTATACACTTTATTTTATGGTTCGCATTTGTCGTTTAATATCATTATTTTCGCGTTTTGTGCAAGTGAATGCTGGCAATTTTTTTTGGTCAGGGTTAGCTGACATTTGTCGTATATCACCCTCAAAGTTTCCCTATTTTCATATACAGAACTAATTCTAACATTAAAACAGTTATTATCCCAAAGAAATTCTTTCTCGGAACGAAATGTATCTCTCTCTCTCTCATATATATATTTTAAAGTATACTACATTTATTGTATTTAAACACACACACATATATATATATATATATATATGTTAAAGAAAAACAGACCTCTTTAAGGTTCCATTATAATAATTTATTTCACCAGAGCCCTTTTAAAGGACGCCGGATCATCAGATAGCACTTCGAAAAATGAAAGGAAAATTGATGGGTAGTGTAAGTTTTTGTAATTTAACAGAGAGTGTAATAAGGAGTTGTTAGAGAGACATGGTAGAGTTTAGAGAGGGTTTAATTTAATATTTCTCTCAATCATACTTACTATTGGGGAGGAAGAGTGACCAGACCTTGACCTATTTAAACGGTTAACTTAACGGAAGTGATATATTGAAATATATATATGTGTGTGTTTAAATACAACACACATGATCAGAAGTATGGCGTTTAAACATAAAATAGACTGTTACCTCTGGGTGTTGACCTCAATGTCCACTTTTATATTTACATGCACTCTATCCCTGAGACTGAGCCCTTTGACCCATAAATGTAGCATACTTTAAAAATATATTTTTTATTATATATGATAAAAATAAGCGTAAAAATGCTCAATATCAGGGAGAGGATGCATGCAAATATAGAAGTGGGCACAGAGGTCAACACTGAAAGCGATAGTCTGTTGCATGCTTCAATCTTCAAGCCATAAAGCATGAAACTGACTGTCGCCTCACAGTGTAGACCTCGGTGTCCAATTCTCATTTAAATATAACAGAACATGTCACTCCGATATATATTTTTTTTTTTAACCGTTGTATATATATATATATATATATATATATATATATATATATATATATTATATATATAAAATTTAAAATATGATTCCAACTCGCGACATAAGAGGTCTCATGTTTCAAAACAAGAGCCGAAAACTACAATATAATTATTTGAATTAAATTGAGTTAAAGTAAGCTCTAAAAAAAAAAAAAAAAAAAAAAAAAAATTCAATTAAAGGTTGGAACATAGCTTACTTTTTTTTAACTCAATTTAATTCAAATAATTATATGGAGTTTTCGGCTCTTGTTTCGAAACATGAGACCTCTTATGTCGCGAGTTGGAATCATATTTTTAAATAAATAATTATATTTATGCTCTACTTTTGTATCGAGCACTATTTTTAAAAAAAAATAATAACTAAAATACTAAGGAACATTTTGGATTATTTCCTAACCAGTTCTTTTTCTATTTTTATATATATTTTCACACACACACACACATATATATATATATATATATACACACACATTATTATTATTATTATTAATAGTAGTAGTAGTAATCTTATAAGTATAAGAAACTCGTTGGGAAAACCTTCTGTGTCTTGATTTGCAAATAATCAAACCAATACCAAAGGGAAAATAAGGTATAAAAAAAGAAAGAACCAAGAACATGTACATTAGCCGAAGATAATCGTCTAGCATGTAACTCCAAAGCCCAAAGAAAAAAAAACCCCGATATGTGTACCCAAAATAACTAAAAGTGATCAGTACAATATATATAAAGACATTTTTATGTTTATACATACTTTGTATAGATACAATTATTCAAGTAAATGCTCTGTATAAACAGAGAAATGTCTTAAAATAATTGTCGGACTTTGTTCATTTCATAATATATATATATATATATATATAAGAGGAAATGTCATATCATATTGACTGTTTTTATGAGTGGAAGACTATGCAGCGTCATTGAATTAGGAAGGATTGATTGACTTAAAACTTATTTTGTAGAATTCTCTCACCAGCACCGACTATAGACCAACAGGAAGCGCATCATTTGTTAACGCTTCGACAACTGTGCAGACATTAATCAGAACAGACGGAAGTAGAGAAGACAGACGTAAAGGCATTGTTCATGTAGTCAAAGATAGTGACATACTTTCCTGTCAGTTCTGCTCAACCATCAACTCCGCTCTCAAAAATTGGTTTGGCATTTTTTCAATTCGTCGCACCTTGCTGAAACTCTCTTGAAGCTTTTGGCAAAGTTCTGGAGACACATTTCGAGGTTTGATGCATTCCGGCTCCACTCTGCCATTCTTCGGTGCTAACTTTTCTTTTTCCGTTCTTGCTGGGGGATCTGACACCTTCCGCCTTTTACAACACTCTTCCGAATTATGCAAGCGAACGAATTGGTGCTGACAATTTTAACCTGGCCTCGTTGATCTTTCTATCTATTATTTTGTTGATACCAAATCAAGTTCATGGTTATTGACACTCGGAATTAAGCTACATATTGGGAATAGGATTTAAATATATTTTCACTCACACAAATAAAATGGTTGATAAGCCGTAAAAACACATTAATCAACAACACACAAATATATATATTTGGACATTAATACTTCTTTTGATAAATATCATTGATTACGATGATGATTTTAAAGTGTAGTTTAGATGTGGCACAAGGATGGAACACCCAGTGAGGATCGAACTCACTATTCAGTGGTAATTGGTCTAGGGAGACAAGATTGATAATCATTACAACACGTCTAAGTAACCAATGATTTTCTAGGCGTATTTTAGATGTGGCACAAGGCCGAAAGTATGGGACACCCAGTGAGGATCGAACTCACTATTCAGTCGTAACTGATCTAGCGAGACAAGATTGATAACCATTACACCACTCCGAAGTACCCTAATGAATTTTTAAGCGTAGCTTAGATGTGGCACAAGGCCGGGAAATTGATCTATCGGGACAAGAAAAAGTTTGTTTGTGTTGAAAAACCTCGGTAAGTGAAATTGCCATCCATATAGGGTACTGAGTTTCATTAAATGTAAATTATATTTATATATATATATATATATATATATATATATATATATATATATGGTTAGGTAAATAGATAACTTTATATTAGCGACCGTATACTAGATAACGTAGGTAAAATGTGCTATTAACAAATAAATATTCGCCTGTTAAAAAAATTGAGCACTATTGTGTCTACACCTCTTGGCTGGCTAAATTTGGTAATTATTTATTTGCTTAGCAGCGGATAAATGACAGCACTGTTTCATACGGTTCTAATATCTAGTTATCATTATTTACATAACCATATATATATATATATGATTGTAGAGAGAGAGAGAGAGAGTATAGATATATATATATATATATATATATATATATATATATATATATAGAGAGAGAGAGAGATAGATAGATAGAGTATAGATTGCATATAAGCGTGAAACAGACTGGCCGTTGGGTGTTGACGTCAATGTCCATTTTTATATTTACATACGCACTATCCTTATTGTTAAGCATTTTAACCCATAAATATAGCTTATCTTAAAACTCCGTAGCTAAAATATGACCATATCATGATGAAAAAATGTACCAAACTTAATAAAAACAAAATCTTTATGAGTAAGAGTAAAAAAAAAACAAAAAACAAAAAGTGTCTTTTGATTATTAAATTATATTTTTGGATCCTTTCTAAATTTTGGTTAAAAACTTGTTTTTCTTGCGTCAGCGGGAGGTTCAAAGATTACTATAGGTAATTTTAGCTTCTTTTTTGTGGTGAAAAGCATATTGATTTGGAAATTCTTGCAACAAAAAAAAAAAAAAAAAAAAATCAAATAATCATCGGATTTTAATGAAACATTCAGGTGTTATTAACAAATGAATGAAATTATTTTAAAAAATCTTTTTCTTAGAAAATCTTGGCAAAAACTTTTTTTTTAGATCTGTTACCCTCGCACTTATTTAATTTTATGAAATTTAAAGAAAATGATTTTTGTAACGCTTAATGTTTATATATCTTATACACAGAACTCCTTGGAGAATTTAAATACTTGTTTTGTTTTTATATAA